AGGAATGCAGGTTTGACATGATGCAGAAAAGGTCACCGGTACTATGATTTCTGTTTGTCCATGACTTCTTATATGGAGACTCTAGGAGGGCTGCCTTTTTGGTGTAGACAGAGGAAAGGCCCTAGACTGGGGGTGAGCCTGTCCCACACTCACCCTGCAGTGTTGGTTCCTGTATCCTATGGAGCTTAGCCCAGCACCCTTCTCTGGGTGTTACAATCTGGCATCTGGGGTCACAGCACCACTCACTGAAATGTGATCTGGTCACCCTCCTCCCCCCACATTTTCACAGAGGGCTGCAGGGCCCAGTCTGAGGGAGCGGTACTTCAGCCTTATGTACCAGGTCACAGCACAGCACTCTCAATGGGAAAACTCGTAGCCTGCCCTAAAGGACACTGAAGCGGCCCATGGCAAGTGCAGATGGTTCATACTTCAGGGCCCTGCTCCCCTTCAGAGGCCTTAAGGTCTGCCGGGGGGTGGGGCAGAGGCTGCTGCTGTAAACAGTCAGTGCCCCCTCCTTTGTCAGGGCATTTTTTTAATTAAAAAAATCAATCCCAGATCAGTTACTAAACCTATAGGTTTGACTAAAATTTCCTGTGACTGCTCTGTGAGTCATGATAAAGAACTTCATGATAAATCTGCAACCCTAGTCCTATTGCTTGGGGTAGGGGGAGGTGAGGGATGGACAGGCCAAAACTGGAAAACTCAAGGGCAATTAAATGTACCTTTCATTTAAACTGTAAGTCACCAGTTTAAATCTAGCACAAGCTGAAAGTGTCTGAAAACTACTTTCCCTAAGCTGCTGAGTGACTTTGTGAAGCATGTTTGCTCAGAGTGGACAAGTTCCCACATGATAACTGCCACCACTCCAGCTGACACCCTTGTTGGCAGTCTCAGCAGAGAAGCCAAGGCAGGAAGAAGCTGAAAGACTGATCCCAAGACAGGTAGTCCCACTAGCTGAAGTTTACTGGTAGGGCCATGTGGAGAAGCCTGCACATCTGCTGGGGACAAACGGGGCTTCAGTCTCCAGAGCTGTCACTCAGGTATCTTTACCACCATAAGAGTTAAGAATAAAGGAAAATTCTAAATACACATCATTATGTGGTAGGCATGGCCTACTGCCTCTCTCAAGGTGTGAGTCTGTAAGTTGCTGACCACCCTCCACTCCCATTAATCATGATGGATGTTGAAGGGACTTAGTAACTAGCAGGACTGGGTCCTAAACGAAGCATGTTAGTGGTCAGCAAGTAGCCTTGCCTTGGTAGCTAAACCTGGCATGAGGTGCCTGTGTACGTACGCACCTTCGTCTGCTTGACTGTGTAGCGCATCGTTCCAAAAGGTCCATCTTTCATGAGCTTCTTCCCCACCACTTTGGCTCGGATGACTGTCATGAGACAAGAAAAATAAGACACCGTAAGCAACACGGATACTGGGACAATAACATTTCAGGGATTCTAATCCAGAGGTTATACTTCAATTCAGCAAAGCCTCAGGGGTGGATGATACTGTAAAATAAAAATAAGGTAAATCTGAGACAGCTAAACTCTGAATTTATTCTGTATGCGATACACAATTACTTGCTTTACTCCTGTACATTAAAAAATGACTTTTTGATTCACAGGAGTTCAGCTGAGTTGTCCAAGGCCACTTGGTACCTTCTAACTAATAATGAAATACTTTCCTTCCAAAGAAATGATCCAGACCCCTCTTAAAGAGACATGGAACCACATAAGTAAACTTGAGCCTGTTCTCTATGCCACTGGCAGGTACTTGATGCAGAAGTTCTACTGAAAGAGATTTTAACTGCACAAAGTGTCCATAATTACCCCACTGTCACTGTATAGGGACCAGCATAGCCTAGAAAGTAGGTGCATTGGCCAGGGAGGAGGCTATGACCAAGGAACGCCGATTTGGTATATCCCCTTAGCCGTTTCCACTGGTCTGGTGGCAAGCAAAATGGAACAGTCCTCTGTTAGGACAAAAACTCACTAAAGTTTAGATCTGCCCACATTCATAAATCTAGCTCTGTGATTATATCTTGCCCAGTTAAAATCGTTTGGTGATGAGGGCCTCTCACAAAGTAAACGTGGATATTAAAATGCTTTGGCAACTTACAAGAAATCCTAGCCAGGCATGCCCAGCTCCTAAGGTCAGTTACTCAGGGGACCATATTTTCTGGTGTCCATGGTGATGGTGTTATATAGTGAGGGAAAATCATCCTATGCAAAAGGCAAGTACAAAGCCTACATGTACAGTGAAGTCCACTTAAATCCTCAAAATAGGGCTAAAGTGGGACCTAAAGGGTGCATATAGTTCTGTAGTGAGCCCCCCAAAGTGTATTTCACTCTGTTTCAATGAGCAAAGGGCAGAAGAGGATTCAATAGATGTCTGTTTTTTCAAATTAATTTATTTCTGGTCCTTAATACTGCCCTTTGAGCTCCCAGTCACTGTGAAGCCACAGCACATAGATCTGCAATATCAAGAATTCCAAGGACTTCACCAGAGCTGTAATAAACTGGGCACTCTTGGGTCACCATATTTTTAATATGTATGAAATATAGTATTAATCTGCACCCCATTTGGGTATCTACATCATTGCAGTGAAGTTCCTATTGTTTGGAATATCTCTGAGCAATACATACTGGCTACGTCTACATTGGCCCCTATTCCGTAATAGGGATGCAAATGTAGCACTTTGGAATAGGCAAATCCGCGGGGGATTTAAATATCCCCCGCGGCATTTGCATTTTCATGGCTGCCGCTTTTTTCCGGCTTGTAGATAAGCCGGAGAAAAGCGCCAGTCTGGACGCGATCCTCCGGAAAAAAAAGAGCTTATTTTCCGGAGGATCGCGTCCATACTGGCGCTTTTCTCCGGCTTATCTACAAGCCGGAAAAAAGCGGCAGCCATGAAAATGCAAATGCCGCGGGGGATATTTAAATCCCCCGCGGATTTGCCTATTCCAAAGTGCTACATTTGCATCCCTATTACGGAATAGGGGCCAATGTAGACACAGCCCTAGGGTATCCATAGTGATTGAGAGCAATCTCAGGATCCTCAAATCAATCTCATAGGGTTTTCAGTTCATTTACAATAAATTATTAGCAGAATTCCTCCTGCTCTTTGATATTTGGGGCATTCAGCAAGTAACTTCCATTATCTTTATTAGAAAAAAGTTTGCAGGTCACTTTCAAGTCTCAGCAATACAGCAAAGCCAGTGAGCAAGAGAAAGGCCAGAAGGAATTATTCAGCTAATGCTCCTTGCCGCAGGACTACTGTATCATGTCATCCAAGCCTCAGAAGTGGTTTAATTTTTACCATGGCAGAAAAAAAAATGAGCTTAGAGATGCTGGTTCTGGGAAGGCTAAAGATTGTCACTTGTCTTCTCCAAGCCCCAAAAATATCACTGATTTTAAAAAACTAATAACAATAATACTTTCAGTATTAAAATGAAACTGAATAAACTGATGAAATAATAATTTTTGTTTTAAGTATATTAAGTCTTTCAGTATAAAGAACCACTCAAACTGCTTCAGCAGAACCTACTTTATTATGAAGGGAGTAGTATTGTGAAGTATTTTCTAAAATAGGTTTTGGGGCTTTGTTACTCTGCAGTGTTTGGGGAAAAAAAACATTGGGCCAGACTTGCAGCTTCTGTTGAAGACACACTGAAGAGTTGCACCAGCATTGTTTTCAAGGTTCTGATAGTCCAGCCACCAAAAAGACTGTACACGTCATCCATTTCCTTTGACCTTGCTAAAGTTCTGATATTGACTCAGGCTGGGGAAGAGGTTCACTTTTTTCAGAGAGACTCCGTATAATCTTTAGCTTCTGTTGAATGAATGCACACCAGGGAAAATCCTTCATTTAAACTGGGAAATTGTTACTTTGCTAAAAGGAAAAATCCAGCTGACCAACTTGGTGATTTAAAGGCATGATTGGTTTTGAGTGATGGAAGAATTTCAATGGAAATTTGAAATGCAAGCAGTTTTAGGACACATCCTAACGGCTTCAATATCAATTAAATTTTTAAGGCTCCCAGTTGTTAGCAATTTTACCTCTTTTTTGAAATATTCTTTTGTATTATGGTAACATATAAACAGCAACCAGGATCAAGACCCCATTGTGTTAAATGCGTTATGAACATAGAGCAAAAGATGGCCTGGATGAGCTTACAATCTAAATTCAGATATGTAGTAACAAGTTGGTATAATAATGAACTAGAAGGAATGGAGATGTGATGTAGTAAAAAGTTTAGGTGTCTACTGTATAGGATAGGCCAATGAACAGAACAAGCAGAAATCCCTGCTAGCCATCTACCTAGCTATTACTAGTTGGCAGATTCCCTTAGATCTCAAGACAGAAGTACCTTGAAGCAGGACATGAAGGAACAGAAGGTAGTGGTTTTGTGGACTCGTTCACAATTGAGCTGAGTTTCCTGCTAGATACAGGAAAGCTTGTGGAAGAGTTATTATTTTATTTCGATTATGATAGTACCGAAGAACTCTCAATCAAGCACCTAGGCCTCATTATGCCAGGGATTCTACAAACAAGTGACAAAGAAGAGAGAATCCCTCTGAGGAAAAGAGGAAAGAAATAGGAGAGGAGGGTCAGGACAATGAGACAATAAAACAAACAACGTTTATCGTCGGAGGAATGGGAAAACAAGTGATGGAGACTGGTAGAAGCACAGTGGTGAGAGAACAAGGTAACAAGCAATACCAGATAAGCAGGAAAAGCCAAGTTTGCTGGGCTTTAAAGGCAAGCACTGGAAACTTGTAATTGAATGCACTGGACCAAGACAAGCCTGTACATGGAGTCAGAAGATGGGTAATGGCCTCAGACAACAAGCTAGGCAGATGATTTAAGAAGCAAATTCTGAGTGGTCCTGAGGAGTGAGATGAGTGTCAAGAAGACTATTTCACAATGAGCTATAGACAGAATAGAGGGGACCAATGATGGAGCTGGAAGCAATAACTGTAGATAGCACATATGAGTTTAAAGGAAGAAGGGACAGTAGTTTTGGTGGGTCAAAGGTGTGGGCTTTCACAGGGCGCGTTAGGTTTATCACAAAATTTTCCTTCAAAAGTCCAGGAGACATGAGAGGTGAAAACTGCTCCCAAAAATCACTTGTTCAATGTCTGACTTTGGAGCCACGATCTCACCATCAGTTAGAGCTGGATCTGGCTTGGTCTTTGCCATTTACAAACTACCCCAATGCAAAAGAGCTAAGCAAAAGAGCATCATCCTAACTCCTGTGAGCCCGATTCTGCTCTGGTTTTGAGCCATGTGGAATCAATCCCATTGATTCCATAGGTCATTAGTCAGTGCAAAATTTGGCCCTGGTCTTCCAAGAGTTTCTCTTTGAGATTTTGCATGTATGCCTCGAGACAGTGTGAATCTCTAAGGCATGGCCCAGTATTTACATGTGATGATGTTAAGACTATCCTCTAATATTGGAAACAGGATGGAAATCAGAAAGAAAGAGGTCAATTTATCAGACAAATAAACACAATCTTTTCCTATATGCCACCCAAAAGACGTTTGAGGGGTGCTTCTCTCTCTGCTCCAAATAACTTTTGGTTGATATGAGGACTATTACAGTTTTTTCAAGTAATTTTTAATTTGCCCTTTCCCTAGTTTAGTTTCTGAACCTTTCCCTATTTTAGTTTCTGAACCAACCATATTTTCACTGGCTTTCAGTAAGTTAAGCATCTAATCACCATCAATATTCTTGGTGAAAATTGAAATAAATCATTAAGCTCCTCTGCTATTTCCACATTTTCTGTTCTTGTTTTTCCCTCTGCACTGAGTATTGGGCCTACCCTGCCCTTGGTCTTGGTCTTCCTCTTGCTTTTACTGTATTTAGGGTTGCCAGATGTCTGGTTTTTACCCAGATACTTCGGTATTCAGGTCCCCCATCCAGTAAAATAAAAAACAAAAACAAAATACTGGACACGTGAAATGTCCGGTATTTCCTGCTTCCCGTGGATGGAAGCCTGGTGGGGACAGTCTTCCGCTGCTGCGTCTGGCGGGGGAGTGAGGAGCATGGGGCCATTTTTGGTTTTGCTCAACAACTTTGGTTTCCTGTTTTTTGTTTTTTTTTCCCTCAACCAAGTTTGCCATGTTCAGGATTTTTGTTGACAGCATCTGGCAAGCCTAACTGTATTTGTAGCTAGTTTGATCTTGTTTTGTGCCTTAGCCTTTCTAATTTTGCCCCCACATACTTGTGTTATTTGTTTATATTAATCTTTTGTAATTTGCACTAGTTTCTACTTTTTGTAGAACTTTTTTGATTTATAGGTATTCAAAATCTCCTGGTTAAGCCAGGGTAGTCTCTTGCAAAAATTTCTATCTTTCCTGCACGGTGGAATAGTTTGCTCTTG